GATAAAAGGACTTGAAATAATTGTGTAGTAGAAATTTCACAAGTAGTAAATATGTTTGGAAGAAATCAGTAGTTCATTTGCGTGAAAAATTACTTAAATTATTGTTAAAATGAGGATAATCTGTTATAAAGTCAGACTGGAATCAAATGCATGAGTTTCTGGCTTCTCATAAAATCTTCAGAGAACAATTTCAAGAAATCAAAGCAAAATATGTTCTTTCTTGGTCTGCATAATTCACTCAGCATTTTATAGAATATTTTCTCGAATTTGAAAACCAACCCAATTAGTAAACAAAGAAATTTTTCAAATCTTGAAACCAAAATTTGGGGTTTTCATGTTATGGACGTTAGCGAAGTAATTGGATCTGGTAACTTAAGTATTCTTAACATATCTCTTTTTACCGACGATGTAATAAACTTCTCTAAATGCTTGTTTTACCAAGAAATAGATTTTCTAAACCGTTCAGAAAAAATAAGTCATAAAATTGGTACTTATCTTTTTTTAAATACAAAATTATACAATTGACAAATTATCTTAGTATTTAATTAAAAAAAATTCATGTTTATATAATTAATTGAAAAACAACATAAACGTTAATTACTTAACTCAATTAATATACTTTTTCCTATATATGCACCGAAGTGTCATGCGACGAATTTTACTAGAGTCCGTATACCATTCAAAATTCTCTAATTCTGCTTAGAATTATATTTTTCTATCAGACATCAAACTCTGATGTGAGAAATTATCTTAGTCGCGGAGACTGAACACAGTTAGTGTAATGGTATTTACCTTTAAAGAATATCCAAGTACTATCGAAATTGAGAAAAAAAATGCACTGGTTGTGAATATAAGCAAACGCACGATAACTGATGTGAATTGTGACGAGCGTATGTTTTTTTTTATGTTTTCTTTATTGCTGTGATTACTGATGCATAGAGCCACTTTCTTTCACCTTGCTGAAAAAAAAGCAAGCAGATAGACCGACGAAAGATTTTTTTTCTCGTCATACTCGTCGCAAAGATTACCTGTAATTAATGTGTGAAGAGAAAAAAGAAGTAATATCGAGTAGCTATCTCACGTTAACGAAACACATGGTGTTCAACCATCTAAAAATCGGCTAAAAATCAGATTTTTACCGATTATTTTCTGATTATATTTCAATTAAAATGCCACCATTTTAATCAAACTTTAATCAGTTTCTTAATTTTTAACCATTTTAATCGATTATTTTTTTTAATTGATCTTAATCATGATAACTTGAAAACAGGTTTTCTCTGGTTTCCAATTAAAAACACTTCTTTTAAATGGTTATTTTGAACCTTTATTGTCGACAAATAGCAGATATAACGCCAAAAACAAACTTAGGCACACTTCAACAGACAATATCAATTTACACTTATTACTGTAAGCCAAAAAGCTGCTAAATTATATTAAAATCAATTAAAACTTAACTAAAATCGATTATAACTGATTAAAAGGCAAAATATCAATTATAATTGATCAAACATGCGTACAAATTATACAACAAATTAAAACTTATTAAAAATCAAGAGCCTGATTAAAATTTGATTTTTTGTAATTTATTCTTACATGGGTAGTTGTGAAATGAATTGTTGCCTTATACTAAAGAATACGAGAAAAGAGAAAAGGAATGCAAAATAGAAATGAATTCTTTCTTTTCTGGTACTAGTTTCATAGTAAAAGCATAGTAAAATAATTGTTTTTTATATGTAGTATCTTTGAGTTTGTTCACTTTACAATTAATTATTCTTAATAGATCTAAATGATGTAAGCGAACAATTTCTTTTGATCTATTATTAATTATTAGTAAGAGAGATACTATCAATGGACAAGATAATGCTTGTGTCGCTAATTCAGTATTATAGTGATCGATTGTATTTTTTAACTGCATTACATAATCTTCAAGATATTTCTCAATAATACTATTTATTAGATTGTATTAACTTGAGAATATCATCCTTCAAAATCAATCATTGTCATATGTGTGTATATAAAAAAGCGTTTTATTTTGTAAACCTAGATCGAAATATGTTTGATATAAACCATAAATTTGATCCAAATGATACTTCGATCAAGTATTTGAAGTTGCAACGAATGCAGAAGTGATTTTCGTAGTATACTGAAATATTTCCATGGTTTATAAGTAATACAATTAGCTTCATTCGACTGTCTGCTACCATTCTCATTAGATACATAATAGTGTTTTATTCGTTGACATTGCTACTTCTTTTAGATGCACCCTTCTGGGATATAGATGGTTCAATGATTGATTTAATAAAACGGCCACTTCTCATTTGCGAACATAATTAAAATGAAGTTAAAGTAAAAATAAATTGTTTTAAATTTTCATTAGTTGATAAAGTTAATAAACAAAGTTTTTAAATGAAATGACGAAGTTTTGTAAAATGAATTTGAAAGATAACTTCTCGACGGTTGAAACAAAAACAATAAATTGTTGAAAGTTTCTAATTAAAAATTATTTTATTTATATAAAGTTAGTTATTATTTGTAAAGGACAGAAGCTTTTGATCAAGGTAATAGAGTTCGCTAAATTTTTTTCTATTGAAATGTGTGTAAGTCTAAAAAGATGTAGAGTTCTTCTGTGTTCTTCTATCAAGGGATTAAAAAAATGGGAAGGACTTTTAATGTTAAGATTGCGCTCATTCTACGGTATATACTCCACATTTTCCATCAAGTAATCAAAGCGAACCTTTCGTGAATACACCGACAGAAAACACTTATTCGAGCAAAAAGAAGAAGAAGGAACTTTAAAGTTAAAACTGTTTACTGTTTTTATAACTTTTGTATTCATAATTTATAGGTACAGTTATTTGTGCTCTGCATATTGTGTGAGTTTCAATTCATGAAAATAGATAAAGTAAACAATAAAATAACGAATATTTGATAAATTTAGTTTTCATTTATTTAAATTTTTATATAGATGACGTCATTCCACATATTTAATATTTGTAATTACACGCATGTATATCAATATAATGCTCTTCGTACTTAACATGTTCATAACAATGTAATCTACAACTTTGTTTTCTTCATTATAATAAATTGATGTGCCACAGTTAGCAAAAACTAATATGTTTCCTCTTCGAGTCTTGTTGTTTATTTTTGTTATAATAGATAGTAAGAAATTGTCGACGAGGGATTTTTTTTGTAAGAAATGATTTGACGAAAATGGTATGAAAAGTTTTCTCTTGCTTTCTAATTATTGACATTTAAAATAATGAAACCCTACCTGAGAGTCGAACCTGTAAGAACTGCTGATCATAAATGATGGCCTAACAAAACAATTAAATGATCAGTGTTTGGCATTTATTGGTGATGCTTATCGTACGATAATTATTCATGGAAATTGTTTTGAGATAGTCTCATTATTTATTCTTTCGAGAAAAATCTTATTTCCTATCAACTGATCAAATTAAAAGTTTTATTTTTATTCAACATAGGAAGTCAAAAAATTTTCATTTTAGAAAAAAACTAGATCAACATAAAAATGTTTTCTCAATGTAATTTTATGAATTTCAATCAGAATATATCACTTATTTGGTTTTGAAGAATAAGCAATCGACAGTCCATATTTTTGGAACTTTTATTTACGAGATATCATCTGATGCTAGTTTTTATTGTTATTTAAAATATTTCAATGTATAATAGTAATTTTTTTAGAATTTTTCATACGAAGTTATTATGACTAAGAATGTTTAATGATCGGATTAATTTAAAAGACGAGTATATGTCTTGATAATATGTAATTTCAGGAGGAATAAGAAATACATGATCTAGGTGAAATATATCGACATGAATCACTCCTTCGATAAATTTCCTCTCAACCTGAACAGTATTGGTATAACTCTTCACTCCGATTATTTTGTTTTTGTAGCTAGATCACAATATATGGTCATTATTTAAATTGAATTGTCTCAAGTCAAGTCAACCTTGACTTGAGAATTATTTTTGGTTGACACTCTCGATGTAACTTGAATTGGCTTGATCTGATTTTTCGATCTAATAACCTGACTTATTTTGTATTTTAAAAGCTTTATCTTATCCAATTATACTCTAAACCAATCGAAAGTTGATATATATTAATTACTGTGTAACAGATGTCATCAGTTAAAGATTGAACTCTAACACTTTTCGTAAGTGTGGGTGGGTGTAGGTGCGACTAAGGGTGTGGATCTGGGTGTGGTTCTCCATTTCTAGACAGTAACACCCACACCCACACCCACACTCGCACCTTTGTTTTGGAATAATGTTTGGAGAGAACTGAGTGTTTCTAAAATCTTAGTTTTACAAGCAGACTGGAAATTTTAAGCAGCAACTCACTATTTGATAACAGGTACTTACTTCGTTATTTTGCACTTTCGAGATCATAAATTATATGATCCTAATGTTCATTTATTATGAGAAAAAAACAACATCAATTAGCAGGAGGATATTTAGCACTTGAAGCTTTATTAAATATATTTAGGCTAGCGAGCTAAAGACAAGTATTACTTTTGACAAAAATAGAATACGAGAAAAACAAGTTTGAAAAAACACGTCACAAATAAATAATAAAACAACACAAATATCTCAGATGGAAATAGTTTGTTTAGACATAAGAGCAAATTTCAAAATGTAGAGCGTTCAGTAGATGCGTACAAACAAAGCTTTCAGTATAATTTGAAAAAAAACGACAATTTAGATGAATGAAGTAAATATATAAGACTACTTTATTGTTACATATATTGCATGAGAACATTACGTGCATTTCAATTTTTATCTAATTTATCTTTTAGAAAAATAGTATAAGCTAAATTTTCTGGAGAAAAACGCGAACGTTCTTTACGAGCTACAAATGCTGGACATGAAAAAGTTGACTCACTAGGTACACTACTTCCACAAGCAACAAGATGTACTTTTGCTAAATTTGACAAAAGTGGAAGTTGAAAACAATATATTTTCCAAAATTCTAATGCTCAAGTTGTTGATGGTTTGGATTTCGAATTAAATTCTTGTACTGCTGCTTTAAAAAATTTTAGTCCTTCATTCAAACAAATTCGTTCCCTATTTTCTTTTATATTTTCTACAGCATAATCTTGATCACCACATGCAGATATAAAATCATCGTATGTTGATACTTTAAATGATTTGTTTTGTGATAGTAATGATTGTAATTGGAATGCTACAGTTGTTGTTGCAGCTTGTGTAATATCAATTAAAGAATTTTTTTGTGAATAAACATCATTTAATATTAAAATTTTTATATATTTTTCACACTGATATTTGTCAGCATTATTAAGACTTAAATATGCAGCAGGATAAAAAAAAATGTATGATACTAACATTGTAATAGAAACTAAATTAACAAGAGAAGAAGTATTATATTCTGTGATTAATTTTTATTCTAAACTGACATTACAGACATTTTTACAAGTAATTTTCAAAGTGAAAACAACATCCTATTACCATTCGTATTAAATACACCGAATGGTAATACATGAGTTTAATCGTATTTAGAAACAACTGATACAATGGATTCATACTGTTAGCGTCACAGTTTCATACAACCTTTTTTCATAAAAATAAAGATTTATTCAGTTCAGTCAGACAACTAATATTTTTCATAAATCTAACAGTAGCTCAACATGAAGTAGTATTATTGATTATTATTTAGCACTTTCATGAAATTACATGCATATTAGCAAATAACGACTGTTTAGCTTTGGGTACCTTGACTTTCATTTTCATTTAATTCTTTTTGTTTCTAAAATCAAAAGCTTTTTACCACAACTGCAAAGTAACCATAAATGAAGACCTGTTCGTCTTTTCCAAGTATCTATATTAGGCATTACTTTCTGTAATTCGATATATGTTTCTTACATTTTCTCCAGCATAATAGAAAAAATTTTAAATGCGATTTCAAATCATAACAAAAATAATTCATTCACGTCCTATATTAAACAATCTTTTCATTAGATTGACTATTTCAAATCCAACAACTTCTAGATACAAATTTATTTTTTTAACCTATCCACTAATTTCTATGGTTTATATCTTACTTGGAAATATTCGAATTGCTATGTGTTAGAGAAAAAATATTTGTAGACTTTTTATAGTAACAACTTTTTCATTTCTTTTATATGATCATTACTACCATTATTATAGGTACAAAAATGTTTGAATTCTTGCACTACATGATAAGCAAGACCAATAGACGGACAATTTTTACCAGACATCATGGTTGTACCTAGAAACTATGGTTTCCGCACATCATATAATGAAGATAAAAAAATCCCAATCGTCGTTTGTTAATTCAATTGATTTTAATTTGTTAAGCTATTCTTTACGTAATTTGAGTGCTTCCTTTTCATCAAATAATTTCAACAATAATAGTTTAACAATAAATAAGGAATCAATTAAGAAAAACGTTGAGTTCCAACGAGATTTACAATCAATGTTGATCGTTTTATTTAATTTATATAACAATTGATGAGATCGAATATAATTGGCTATGATTCTGAACTTTTTGGAAACTCTTGCAATTGTAGGACATTTTGTTAAGACTTTCATGACCAACTCGACTTCTTCAGTCACTGCAATATCGCTTTCCACATCTTTCGACTAATTGTCAACAATTACTTCAAGTATTTATGTTTCATTGACATCTTCATCATTACTTAATGCATCATCTTCACTTGCTAATTCACCTCCTGTATCACCATCAAACTTCATCATCAACTTATGAATCATCTATTTAAAAAATAGAAGCAGTTTATAGTAATAAACGATTTTTTGAGGGTGGGGTGTGGGTGTGGGTGTGGGTGTGGGTGAGGTGTGGGCGAGGTGTGGGTGAGGTGTGGGTGAGATGTGGGTGTGGGTGTGGGTGGGTGAGTATGGGTGTTATTTTATGAATATTCACTTTATGTACACCCACATCCTAATAAACAATAATTTTAAGATGTCACAAAAATTCCATGCAATTGTCAAAGTCTAGTGAAGTTTCTTAAAGTCTTATAAAGTAATAGAAGGCTTTTGACGTCTTTTGGAGCCTTTTGAAAACTTTTGAAGTTTTGGAGTTTTGACATTCGTTGGTTCCGCGTTCAGCTGAGCAACTAGAATAAAAATAATATGTGGATCTTTACCGATGAGGATTAGTGGCAAGACGTTACTCACCGGTGAGATATTGTAATTGTAAAGTTGTACAAGTGACATCGTTCCCCGATGCTTTGATATTAATTTGAGTTACTGTCATTGGTTCTGATGTCGACCAGGTGATATTTTTCACTGATGTTTCAAATACGCTATCAACGACAGCACTTGAATAAAGGTCGACCGACGTCAAATAGAAAGATATTTTGGATGACGATGTACGATGAGCAACTACAAGCGCACATTGGGCAATCAATCCAATAACATCATTGTATTCTTGCGATAATTTTAATTCTTTCTCTGAGCCACCAGCCGTTATTTGTATACGTTTGAACGTATTCAAAAGATTCGCGGTTGTCTGGATTGCTAAAGAAATATACTGAATAAAAGAAAAAAGTAAGAATTGAAGATGCAATGGAAAAAGAACAAAAGTTGATACGACTTCTCGATGAGCGGAAACCTTTCAGAGATATGCCAACAGCCAAAAACAAAATAATTGATGAAATTTAGACTTTCGTTTAAATGGGATATCACTCAAAAGGAATAGACAAAAATAAAAAATGGGTGATGATATTGATCGCAGATTCAACGATTAGAATTCAGACACTATGTGGTTGAAATAAATAAATTTTGTTTTGTAAGAGATGGTATTTAAGCATCTGATGAATCAGGTTTGTCTCCGACTATTTTTACGATATAAGACACACTAGAAAGATATTTTCATTTGCAAAACTATCTGCTCTATACGGTGCGTGAGAAATACGCTAGTGAGAAATAGGAGGCTTCAAAATATTTCGAAAACTACATGAATATTCATTGAGGTGATAGAATTAATTAATTACCTTTGATTAGTAGATGCAATAGTCGTTAATGAAAGCCTCATAATGAACAAGAATTTCTTTTTTTGAATATCTTTTATCAGTATTCTCATCGTTTCATTAACCTAAACCAGCATTAGTTCTTTCCTGCAGTTGCTCTTGGCGTTGGGTATATTCCTTAGAGTTTTGAGGTCATATGTGAGTATTGCGTGACATTCTGTCTTCTCTTCAAATTACCATGAGACAGTGGTAGTGGCCATTATTTGATGAGGATAAAGAAATATATAACATAAGAAGTACAGAATCTCACAGGGAAGAATAGTTCTTGAGCTAAGGAAAATAACTAGTCATAAGACTTCAAGACTCATCAACGTTGCTATTTTTTTCTTGCAAGTATGCCTCGAAGTAGGAAGACTCAGAAATCATGAATCTTATTTGAATGTTCTCTTAATCCTTTGGCCGTCAACATAAGAGAGAAAAAGGTACTTTAGAAAAACATTACAGCTATTTATACCATAGATGGAACCGGTACTGGTTACCGGCCGTCCGGTTCGGTCTGACTTATATGAACCGCTACCGGTAGAGGTCATCAAAAATCTAGACCGGTTCCATCTCTGGTTTATACCCGTTTTTAAGCCACGACTCTAGAACATACCATTATGAAATGATGGCATCACAGGCTTCAGCTGCTTGATGCTTATTTCTATGCAAGCTGATCTAAAAAACATTTACTACGATTGATTCCGTTAGGTTTAGACACTGATAAAGTCCATGACGCTTAGAAACGGCGACGGTGGTCAAAGGGTGTGGGTGTGGCTGTGGGTGTGGGTCTCAACACCCACACCCACACCCACACCCTAGCCGTCGAGAGTCGATCGAGTAGTTCGGGTTCT